CAGGGGAGACGGCCGTCCGGTTATTGCTGTTGTTGTCGCCGCGCGATCTCGTGACTCCGCATGACGGACAGAACGACATCGTCGCCGATACCGACGAGCTTATCGTGGACTTGCGCGTGTGTGAGATGACTTATTGGCTCCCCGTTCAATCGGACGATCACGTCGCCCGCTTGCAGACCGGTCGCGTGGGCCAGGCCCCCGATCATCACCTGAACGAACAAGCGAATTTGATTTAATGATGATGATAAAGCGGGGAGAAAGGAAAAAATTTATATCGTAAATTTATATCTTAATGTCGCTTCGTTCCCGGAAAATAGTTTTCCAAATATCTCCCGCGACAACGATCGATCGTTGGATTGTTTTATAATTACGGGATATATTGAAGAGAATCGTAATTTAGCAGCGTGTCTTTGTATATATCGCATATATCGAAGAAGCCTTACCCTGACGACGGTTAGAGGAAAAGCAAAGTCCACGCCTCCGGAAAGTCGAAAGCCCCACGGTTGACCGTTACATCTCGATAGTTTAATATCGGTAGTGATAGCGCCTGTCATGACGAGGAGTTTAACGCGATGAGCAACAGTTCGTCTCGCCTGAAAGTACATTTTGGCACACGGTTATTCACAAAATCGCGAGACATATATTTTAATCGGATGACGCTTTAATCGCGGATACGTAATCAATTTTGATTGCGTGGCGCAAAATCTTTCTTTTTTTTTTTATGCTCACCCACGATGGTCCTGTCACTTGGCTCGAGCACACCTGGGATCGAATACGAGCGACGATCGAAGAGCCCTAATCAACTCTCGGTATCTGCATCGTGGCGCGATTCGAATTTCGTTCCTCGGTCGTCGAGGGAACGAGAGAGAGGAAAAGGGAGAGAGAAAGAGAGAGTTGCGCCCGCGCTGCACCTATATACTTATCTCCAATACGACAGGGGGGGAGTGACATGCGCGGGAGATGCAACTGCGGTTTCGCGCGGCGGATACGCGCCAGACGAGCCGAGGGAGTCACGGGACGACCGGAGATCATCGTCGCTCCCTCGTCGGAGATCGGCGAGTCCGCCGCGAAGGGACGTGCGCCGATTACCACGCCGATTAACGCCGAATGACTCCCTTCTGACCGACTGTCCCCTCCCGCCCTCCCCCCCCCCTCCTCCTCGAGCTCGATTCAACATGGTGTGACCGCCGCAATTTCGCCGACTGTCCTCCGCGCCGCGTCGCGCCGTGCCGCGAACGTGTCGGGGCGAGGGCGACGTTTGATTTCGCGCGAAGGGCGCACGCCCCGACAACGGGGTGACCCCCGATCCCGGCCCCGGCCCCGGTCCCGGCGACACAGCTGAGTCCTCGTCGTGTCACGAGCGAATCCAGTCGCTCGGATCTGGCTCGCCTCGGGGAGGGTCTACGTGTGGTCGCGTACCCCCCGGTGCCCCCCGTACTTTACCGCGTCCCGTACCCTCTCTGTCGTCGTGCGCGCTGCCGGAACCGTCGTTGTTTTGCGCCGATAATAAATAATAATCGCGTGCGTTTTCTTCCTCCGACGATCGGAGGATCTCCCTCCGGATCTCCCGCTTCGCACGCGTCCACTACGCGGGAAACGAGGGTGCGTTAAATGCCGAGGGTAAGTCGGGCGATTATTCGCCGTCCGCTGAGTATGCGACTCGCGCCTCGAGACAAACTCGTATTCCGAGACAAATTCATATTCCGAGACTCTGCGTTTCTCTCCTCGATCTCCCGCCGCCAATTTGTTCCTATCGTTTCCGCGATTTCCTTTTCCGCCAACGTTTTACGACATCCGCGTTATATAATGGCTCACACTCGCGGGGGTGGGGGGGGGGGGAGGAGAGAGATGGTACATTTTTGAAAATATCAAGACCGTCTCTCAGGACCATCTACGTGGACCATCCCTCGCCACCACGGAAGCGCCGCGAGATTTTAGAGAGATCTCTCTCGCGCGCGCGTTTTTTTACGCTTGTTGATTTCGCTTGTTTTCTTCTCCGCGTTCGATGTAGATGCTAGATTCGTCGATATTTCACAGCACGTGAAGTATCCTCTCCGACGTAGCATCCTCGCGACCTTCCGGACTAATTTTCTCAATAGTATTTGTCCGTTCGCATAATGTATCTTTCGCGTATGATCGGTGAAAACAATGTATCGATATACATATATCTTCAACTTTAAAACAATATATATATATATATATATATATATATATATATATATGTGTACATTTTGTATGTACACACAACGCGAAAACTCTGTCGATATATTTCAGGCTTATCGATTTTTTACGAGAGGAAGAGCAGTTGCTCATAGTCGCGTCGTAATAAAGCCGGCTGCGATAAATTACAATACGTGCGTGTACGTGTACGTACGTGTGTCCATTATATTATTAATATTTCAGTGATCGAAGGAGTGTCATGGTTCCGGTGAATGGAGATCTCGACTGTTCACGAGTAGCCACGACAAGCTGTGTACGATTACGCTTCCGTGCAATTTCCACGCGTAAGTTCCAATGATTTATGTGCGAAAGAATCTCCTTTAGATAATCTGTACTAATTCCTTACCAATTCAGAATTTTATTTATTTATTTGTTACATACGCGAGTGTGATTAAATCGCGTGTATAATTTACGACGCGAGGAACATTTGAAAAAAAAAAAAAAAAAAAAAAAAAATTGAAACACGACACACGTAACAAATTGATATTAAAATAACGACGAATAACGAATTAAAATATGTTGAAATCATAAATAACGTTAAAATATGTTGAAATCATAAATAATAATTCCATCTTGATGTTCGAACGCAAATAATGCGAATCGTTAAAGTAGATTGACTTTATCCAGTGTGGAATCGGTGTGGAAAATAAATTCGCGCGCGGAACGCCACGAGGAGGAATAAGCGTAAATTACGGACGCCAGATTGCAAATCGAGCTGCCGTGTCGTTTCGATGTTTATATACGCGCTCCGAATTTCCGGGCGTATCGCGTAAAATAAAGTTAGGAGGCGAGATAGACACAAGCGGACACAAGTGAGAGAGATCGGGAGATAGTCCGTGAGGGAGATGCGACGTGAAAGGAGTGAGGCTCGAGAGGGGGGGGGAGGAGGGAGGGGGGAGGGGGAGGACGCGGGTTCTCTGGGGGTGGCTGTGCCGTGCCGGTGGCTGCATCGATCGTTTTCTGACTGGCGCTACAGCGCCCATCTCTTACGGACGCGGACAATGCGGCCCGTCGTCGTCCGCCAGAAAAATACTGTAAATCTCGATAACGGCCATAACGTCGTATCGCTCGGGGATCGACCATCATCGGGATCGGACGGGGCGTCGCGCCGTCGGTCGGTCGCCAGCCGACCGGTGGCCGAGACGAAATCTCCTCGTCGACGCCGTATATCGATCTCGAGCCGATCAGAAAACCCCACGACTCGCACGAGCGAGACCCTCTCGGCCTCGCCCCCCTCTTCCCTTTTAATCGTTCGTCGTATCGATTCCACCGTTTTGTTTTTCAGCGTGGCACGTACCTTTTAATCGGGCACGCGCTAACTCACGCCTCCTCTCTTTCTTTCTCTCTCTTTTTCGCAACCGATCTCCTTGGAATATTTTTTCCAAGGGGAGAGACGGCTTCCTCCTCGTCTGGCGTAGTACGATCGCGCGACGCAGCCGGGATGCGGCCGCACGGAGCGGAGTGGAGAGCCGAGAGGTTGTAGGGGATTGTCGAGGGTTTTTATTCAAGGTTGAGCGAACCTCACGTGTCGCTTGTCAAAGGCCGGTGGTAAGTCGCTGGAAAATGGACTCGCCTATATATCACCGGCTATTCTATTTTGCGACACGCCGAGGAAACGAGACGAAATCGAGCGGCCGGGCGGCCGATAGCCGTGCCAGTAATATTCCCGACGCCGCCCGAGGCGTGCGTTCTATTCGGTTTAAAATAGCAAAAATATTCCAGCGCGGCGGGAGACGAAGGAGAAGAGATCTCTCGGGGTGGGAGAAGGATAAGATCTCTCGGTTCTCTATCTCGCGCGGCTAATTAGTCCGGCCAATTAATCCGGGAATCGATCGCGATCGTTGGCGTGCTCGACGATGGCGGCGAGCGGCCGTGGTAGGACGCGGCGTGCCGTCTACCGTTTTGCGTTCTCTGTTTCTCGACGTAGGCGCGACGTAGGTCCTCCACGGCGGCGCTTCTCCGATGGAGGCTCGAGAGGGCTGAGGGATCACAGCCGCAGGCGGAAACATGCCCGGACGATCGCCGGCAAGGGCGTACGAGCGGCCCATTGCGAGCGGGGGCCGCGGACTCGCCGCCACTTGAATGTCACCGCCGGAGGTGAGATTAACCCGCGGTGAAGTAGGATGGTTTGGTGATGCACACGGAGAGCGAAACTAAACTAAACTAACTAACAAATCGATCGAACAAAAGAGCTCATTAGATTGTCGAATTACCAAATTGCCTTACCTTACCCTTTTCGCAAGTATCACTCTCGAATAAAATCAACATCTCGGAGCTTTCGTTTCGTTACAAGAACAAATGACCAGGGCGCGGGATGGGCGAGTCCTGGCTCTCGGTCTTACTCGCTGCCACGCTGACAACGATGACGATGACGGCGGTGACCAAGGCCGATCTTTCCTCGACGCCGTCTCCGTCTCCGTCGATCGCTCGTGACGACATCGTCGATGCCAAACGGGTTTGTCTTCAACGCTTATCTCGCATGACTAGGGGGATAAATCTCTCCTCTTTTTTTTTGTTTTTTTTCCTCTTTTCAACACGCTTAACAATGTCTTTCCGATTCTTCCGAAGGCGGCCATCGAGGAAGCGCTGGACGTGATACAGGCAGCATCGACAGGCTCCCTAGGGGAGGTTTGCGTCAGTACGGCGGGATTTAAATCCCTTCCGGCTGGCGTCACCCTGGACCCGAGACGTTACGACACAGCCCGCCAGAAGGCCGACATGACCGCTATGATGCTCCAGAATCTCGGGGCTACCGAGGCGATGCGACGTAACGGTGAGTCGGGCTTCGTAACGTAGAGGCTACTAATTCCGGCTCATTCGAGAGAGGGTGAAGAGGGCTCTCGAGGTAAACGGCAAACAATAAAATATCCGACGCGCGCTATGTAACGACGATAAAAGGAAAAACGGTGAAAGACAGGAGGAAGACAAGAATTTTATTCGAGCGTGATAAATGACCCGGAATTAATGCCCCCAATCTAGCTCTACCTTGCTCTACCTGCCGCTTAATTGTCGGCACCTGTTGCGCGCGCGCGGCGAACAACGCGCGCGCCGAAAGTGATCGTGATTGTGAGCACGTTGCGGCCGAGACGACGCGCGGCCGACGCGTGTTTACTAATGATGATGTTGCAGCAGCCCTTCTAGACGCCCTGACCAAGTCCTTGCTCGTGTCGGTGGACGACGCGGTCGAGGCGAGGGTGATCGCGCTGAACGCCACCACCGGCACGGTGATCACCGCGGTGTGGCTGAAACGCAGCCCCGGCAGCGTCGGCGAGCCCTCCAAGGTCGAGAGTCACGCGGTCCAGCCCGGATCGCGGCCGGATCCCAGCCTACCCTGGTTCGAGAATGCGGGTGGAAGCGCCGGATTAAGGTTCGCGCGGCTCGCCGACTACTCGTTATCACTCTCTTCCGCGAGATATGTGTATCTGCAGAAGCCAAACTTTCTCTGAAATTTCTAAAAATCTATTATCTTTCGATATCGAGCATCGATGATGTTGTACGACGTCCCGTTATGGATGGATTACAACCGCTGAAAGGATGACGACTCTACACGAAGAGATGAATTTACCTGAATCTTTTATCTTGTAGCCTTATGAGTTTCTTGAAAACGAGAAACTTTGCGAAAAGAGAGATCTCACATCTCTTATAAATTTTTTCGTATAACGTCGTTCTCCCCTCCGATTGTATCTTCGATAACGGATCATCCTATATTTCTTCCTAAAAATATTGATTATCGCACGCACGCACGCACGCACGTACATGCACCTTTTCAGCACTGTTCTGCACCCTGTCACGTTCATGCTTGAGATGTTATCTTTCTCTTCTATCGATGAGAAACAGAAATGAAAATATGGGTCTGTCCATGAAAATTTTATCGTCAAGTCGAAGCTAAAATTGTGTGCCTATATTTCACGTGCCTTGAGTTAGGAGATCAAAGCATTTAAAGCGTGAATCTTTTAATATATTAAACATTTACTGCGAATCAAATTACGTTGATAAATTTATCTTCATTTGTTTTGTGTGGATGCCACAAGAAGAATTATTAATATCAAAAGATTAATATGTTTATGTGGCTCAAGTAAAATCGAAATTAATATTATTAATTTAAATTGTATTTAAATATAGTTTAATAAAAATTGTATTTAAATAAAATGAAATTTTTAATTTTATGAAAGAATCACGTTGAATCTAGATAAATTATCAGTTCGAAATTTCTGTAGATCATATGTCTTTGGTTTTTTGATGAATTGATTCAAATTATTTGAAATTTATTTACATTTAAAGAATATAATTAATTTAAGCATGTAGTTGCGCATTAATGTTTGAATATATCTTATAATAAATATTTTATCTTTAAAATCTTATGATTATATATTTTATCTTTATATGGCTATTCTAAAGCTCAAATTTATAAACGTAAATCTATAATAAAAAAAAAAAAAAAAAAAAGAAGAGAAAAGATAATAAATGGACAAACCCTTATGTGCAAGATGACTCGTTAGAAGAGAATCGCGCTGGTCTTATAGGCGCTCCACGATCATTCATCATCCCTCATCATCCCGTACGAGCGTCAAGTCATAGAAACTCGATAGATACTCGCGGACGATGTGAACCCGCGATTTTGCAAGACCTTACGCTGCCGTTTCGATCAACGGCGATATACCGCGGGATGACCGTGAAGTGCCGGGCGTGCGACTCGTTGCACGAAAGAAACGTGTTCACCAGAAGAAATGTTTCGAAGTTTCTATGGCGGCTTGTGGCGTTTGCGTGTGATCCCAGGTCACCGAAATTCATGCAGTCACCGCCGATTGAATCCTACAGGGGTTGGTGGACCATCCCGTACTTCTCCTGCAAGAGTCGCCGCTGGCTCATCTCGTACAGCGTCAACGTGAAGTCGCCAGATCACCGACCCGGGTTGGTATTTACTATCCGCTTGTGAAAAAAGAAATTTGTTTAAATTATTTTCTATAGCGAGCCGCATTCTCACGTGCGTTTCTTTTACGCGGTCGTTTTTCCTCCTCCTTTCCACATTGAAGGGTACGGGAATTCATCAGTATGGATATCGATATAAACGGGCTGGAGGTGAATCAGTGCGACGCCCCGACGCAGAACCGTAACGACGAACAACTCGAGGCCGTCTCGAGCAATCAGATAGCCTTCTTTCAGGGCACCCACAAGTGCCATACCGACACCACGCAAGTAAATGTCACGTACTCCCCGAGTCCGTTATTCGACGGACGAGAGAGAGAGAGAGAGAGAGAGACGAATAAAAAAGCGAATATATTCTCTTTTCTGTTATTTAGTGCGTGTATCAGGGACCGGAGAGCCGAGTGAACGGAAATAGGGTGGGCGCCGGTTGGGCAAAGGGCGCGTACATATGTAAGTGTCGGCAGGGCTTTTATAGTGTCAATCATCATCGACCGGGCTTTGATGGGTTCCTCGTCGAAGGTCAGAATTACTGGATTTCTTATCGTTAACGTAATCGGCTCATCACACGTCTCTAACCCTTCGCCCTTTGTACATTATTACAGCCGCGTGGAAGGAAATGAGGGAGAACAAGAGCGACTCCTACGAGGAGCAGTTCCGATGTTTACGCTGTGCGCCGGGATGCGCCAGGTGCAAGGGTCCTGAACCTTGCTTGGCGACGTACAACTGGCCGTTTAGGTATGTTTCTCGCAAGTTGGTCATATTTTTTATTTCATTACTACTCGAGACGTCGTTATTTCAATCGTGTATCTTATCTTTCAAGAATCTCGCTGCTAGCTGTCTCAATTTTCTGCGCGTTCGGCACCATCGTCCTGGTAGCGTACATGTACCAGCATCGTAAACTAAAGGTATTCAAGGTCGCTTCCCCGATATTCCTGTCTATCACGCTTCTGGGCTGCGCCTTGATGTATCTCGAGGTAGGTAGGAAGGGCCGCGTTTCCTTTTTCCTTTTCTTCTGTTTAATAAAAATTTCACTTATACCAGCTTTATTCGTCCCGTAGATGGCCGCTATATTCCCAGTCCTCGATATGTATTCATGCATCGCCACAAAGTGGACGAGGCACATGGGATTTTGCGTCTCGTACACGGCGCTTTTAATGAAAACCTGGCGGTAAGTAATTACGGTACCGCATAAAATTACGGTACCGCATTTTTAAAAGTACATGCGAATCAAGTCGCACGGTACGAGATTCGAGGAGAACGAAATAAAAGCTTTTATCTGGAATTTATATAATTTGCATAAATTGAAAAAAGAAAAAGAAAAGATAGATTATATTGAGATTCTATCTGTGCAACATTGCCTATTATATCTGTTATATGAAAGAAAAGTTATCGCATCGCAATAAAGAGAATTTCTTTTGAAGGAATTGTGTAATTTCAAAATCTAATTCTCCTTTTGCGTATCAATAAATTTCCTATATTCGACCCGCCTGTAACTTCAACGCTTCGATCTTCGTAAATCGATCATTCGCACGCTGAGAAAAATGTTTGGTTGGATTAATTGGAATTCTGATTGAAAATCAGGACAAATCAGAATTTTCTGCTTAAATCTACTAAAATTTTAGTATTTGAGATAATCAGAATTCTGATTGATATAATCAGAATCTTCTGTCCATTTTGTTTGTCCATTTTCAATCGGATATTTTTCTCAGTGCAGAATTGCTGAAAATCAGGAGATTTCTGTTGTCCGCAGAGTGTCGCTTACGTATCGCGTGAAAAGCGCCCACAAAGTTAAGCTGACGGACAAGCAGTTGCTGCAGTGGATGGTGCCCATCCTGCTAGTGATGCTGATCTACCTCGGGACGTGGACCGTCAGCGCGCCGCCTTACGCGGAGGTAATCACGGATAATCACGATCTGAAGTTCTACCAATGTTCTTACAATTGGTGGGATCACAGCCTGGCTATCGGTAAATATACAATCGCGATTCTCTTTCGGATCTGTTTATCTTAACCGGGAGTAACCGGATTCTGCTTTAAGGTGAAATTCTCTTTCTCGCCTGGGGCATAAAGGTGTGTTACAACGTGCGAAACGCGGAGAGTCTGTTTAACGAGGCCCGTTTGATAAGCTACGCCATTTACAATATAGCCGCGGTGAATATAACCATGATAGCCATTCAGTACGTAGTCAATGTACGTTATTACACACGAAACGTGTTTACACCGGAACGTTATGTATCATTTTCGTTGCCCACAGCCTCTTCATATTTCCCCGTGCCGGACCGGATATCAAATACCTGTTGGGCTTCCTGCGGACTCAGCTTTCAACGTCCGTCACGGTCTTCCTCGTATTCGGCCCTAAAGTAAGACAAGTCGTGACCAACAGATGGGATTATTATGGGATAATAAGAAAAATAATTAATTTCATTTTTAAAAGAGCGGATTTATCCTGAATTGATTTTTTTATATCACATCCATTTTATATTCTTGAATTATTTTTTTATATCCATTTTATATTCTTTAACGGGACTTAATTGATATATTAATATTAACACTCGGCATGTGCGTTTAGGTAATCAGAGTATTGCGAGGCCAGGGAGATCAGTGGGATAGTCGTGCGAGAGCACGCGGCGTTACAGCGAGCTTTTCCCTGAATGGAATCGGCTTGGTGCCGGAGGAAACGACGGATTTGTATCAGGAAAACGAAGAGCTTAAGGTGATTAAATGCTTTTATCGTCGTGGCATGTCCATTGTAGATATATATTTTAGACGACACGAAATATAAAATAGGGAAGGTTCGATTTTTCGCCCTTTGTCCTAAATTCCGCGCGTTGTATCAGGAGGAGATCCAGAAGCTGGCAGCGCGAATCGAGTTCATGAAGATAGTGCACATGGAGATGCACAATCGGCACATCAAACCGAAGATGGGCGGTTACTTCAGCACGCACGGTCACGGTCACGGGCATCCATCCGCCGGCCAGAGTCCCATCGCCAAGAGCTCGACGGCCAGCTTCATCCTCAAAGTATGTACCTAAATCATTCTACTTCATCCGCCATTTGACCAATCCTGGTGCCACAACCTTCAAGTTTCCGTTCGGCAACGCGAACGGAATAAAAATTTCGTTATTGAAATTATTTTTTTAAAATTTGAATTTATTTTTCTCATCGACATCGGCTCTTACGTATATATATTTTGAAGATTATACCAAAATAAATTTATTTTTTTTTTTAAATGAATAAAATAATAATTTATGAGTAAATATTATTTTGCGAGATTTCTCTCTTTCCTTCTCGCTGGATCTGTCAGACGCGTATTATGTAAACATGAATGGGAAACGGGACGCGCGAGTGACGTGTGAGAACCGTAACCGTTTACGTAAGACCGTATCTTCTCGTATCCGCATTCGTACGAATCTGCTGGGAGAGCGTCTTGGGAAATAAATTGGAGTAATTTATTGAGCAGACGGCCGTGGAGCGAGGTGCAACGGCAGCCGCGGCCGCGGCCGTCGAGGACTCGACCTTTCCGTCCGGAAGTCTGCACAGAGCGCGTAGGTCGGAAATGCTGAGAGAGAGGAAGGCGGAGAGGGAGAGGGAGCGCGAGAAGGAGCGGAACAAGGAAAAGGAGCAGAAGGAAAGGCCGCGATCGAGCGGCGAGAAGGTTTGACTAGTAGTCAACAGCGAGGAGGTAAGGAAAAGACTCTTTGATTCTTTTCGTTATTTCGAGGGTTTCCCCTCCCCTCCCCCTCCCCTCTTTTTCATCAGTCCCTTTTCCGTCACGATTATCTCTTCTTATCTCGACAGGTATGGTTGTGACGAAGACAGTGTCTCGACGAAGCTAAAAGAGCGCGAGGGGGCCGAAGAAGAAGGAGGAAGAAAAAATTGGAGATATTCAGGTTGTATCCTTTAAAGGACAGGAGACTGCCCGTATTTGTATGAAAATACGTCGTATATAATCAAAACTCATCGCGATCACTGTCTTCGCGTCGTTGTGATAGCGATATCTTCGATATAATTACTAGATGTACAATATATCTCTTGAAATCAAAAATCAATCCTCCAATGAATCCGAGACGGGCGAGAGGTGAAAGGCGACGACGACGGCAAAAAGTACTTCGTGTCTCCATTTATTTTTCCAGCGGCTACTTCCAAGGGATTCACGATTCTAAAATCACCTCGTTTCTTCAGACATGCGAAAAGCGCTCGAGCGCAGCGCGGACACACCGCGAATTGCGAGAGGAATCGTAAAGTAAATTGTATAAATTTAAATAATGTGGAAACGCTTCGTTAAAGGAAACCACGATATCGAAGGCTGTCACAAATGCACAAAGGACGCGCAGGCAAGTTCGCGGAGTCGTCGTCGTCTTCGACGATGTATCTCGCCCTCCCGACGTCGCTTCGTTGCGAGCATCCGATAGAAAACCGTAAGAAAACGCGTGACTTTTGAGTTATCCCCTTTGTCGAAATCACGTCCACGCGTGCACGTGTGCGTACCTTTACGTCATACGAAAGTATAAAGCTCCCGACATTTTCGATATTAAGGACAAACGTAGGGTACCACGAAGGTACCCTTCTTAAATGTTACATAACCGTCGTCGTGTTCCCGGGTTTTCAAATAGCACCGTTCCCGGCGGCTTTATCACGCCGAGGGTGGCACGTCATCCTCCTCATCGACGACGAATACACTTAAATGCACAATTTGAATGTGAATGTTAATTTAAGCGTGTAATATAATACGAGTACGATAGGCGCGTACCTCTTTTCCGACCCGGACGCTCGGACAGATTTAACACTCGACAAGTACGTTGTTGAACGCGTATAGGGAATCGTTTTCGTCGTTAAGTTTATCACTTTGCGAGGCGAGATGTGACTCTCTTATTGTAACTCTTGTTCCCGCGTCCTTATTGTCTCTCCCCCGTGTTTGTGTGTCGCCTTTATTCGATTATTCCATTTACATTTTGCTCATTTCCGAACGTAGAATCGCGTTTTAAAATTGCGAACAACCGAGCGACAATTATTCGTAACAGATTATATAAATGTTACATGTGACAATAAAGTTACACGACGGGCTGTAAAAAGAAGAGGAGGACGAAGAAGAAGAAGAAGAAGAAGAGGAGGAAGAGATATCAACTTTGTTGACATTCGTAGATTCGCGTTTGCGCCCGTAGAGAAAAAGAGAAGATAAATAGAGGATAAAAAAAGGCTGAAAGAGGTAGAGATATAAAATCGTGCGGTGAGGCGATTAACGGTTAATGACGTCTTTGCCTTGTTAGTTTACACTTTTTAAGGGTGCTTACGTTTTCACGATAGAACGCCGTTATCATAGATCGCGTACAGAGTCGTGCGTTGACGACGACCGACAGAATATTGCTGTCGTGTC